TGTACATGTTTGGTTGGATGGTTCTCGAAGAGAAATCCTCGGCCTTTCATGATTGGATACAGGAGCACTTGTTCGATGTGCCAGTTGGCTATTGTTGGCACTTTCATCTGTGAAAGTGTTCGATTGCTTAACAGCGTCCCATCAGTTGCCAGTGAAAACAATTTTGCTAAGCTGTGAGCATCTCCGACACCAGTGATTGCCGGCATATTTAGTCCAATAATGTCGGGATCGTTTAGTGCCACAGTATTCTATAGTTGTCTACTAATTACACTTGTTAAGAATATTTATTTCGCGGGTGTAGCATTTTGTTTATGGAGATTGAGTTGCTAGTGGCAGTTCCAAAATACATGACAAATTATCAAGAAAGCACAAGCTAAATTGTGCCTTCACAGTATTTTTCATCTTCAGATTGAGGAAGCGCATAATTCAAATAGCTGCTGCAACGAACAAAATTGAGAGGAAACCAAGAAGAATGGGTTCGAGGTTTTGATGCCGGTGATTGCGGCGATTGCCCTTACATGAGAACGAGCATAGCAATCATCCGAAAATCCAGCAGCACATCGCGGGCGTATTCCATTAAGCCAGGTAGTGTCGCGCGCGCCAGACTACTATAGTCTTACTTCATCAAATCGATGCTGATGTTGATACCTGCATGGATTGTGGCACAGTAGCATTTTGTTGGAGAAATAGCAAATACTGAGTAGCGGGAAAATGAAATTAAGCAAAGCATTCATCGGAAATGGAAATGAACTTAACTACAGTGCTAGAGGCGTCCTGCCTTATTTGTAGAAATTTATAAACATTTTTCCCTTCATCTGTCTCGGCCCAAAAATTTGATTCGCTCGTAAAAATTCACCATGATTGTTGGCAATTTCTTCTTGAAAAAAATCCTTTATACTGCGACCCCTTTCATCCACCTTACGAAAAACCCCATCAACTAACCACCCAAACGTCATCGCATGATACCTGAAACGGTAATAGGTTGGCTGAGACTAAGTAAAACAGTTCCCTGTAGAATAATTCTTTGAAATTCAACTCTTCTTCACTCTTCTCGATGAATTTTGAAGAGCTCGAAAGCCTTTCTCTTCTTCGTTTCTTTGCGGGGGCATTTTTCAAAAATTTGAATGAAAAATGCCGAGTAGTAGCGATCGAGTAAAGCAGGTAAAATAATTGGCCAACGCACGGGCTGCCCGTGCGAAGATGCGTTTTTTGCATGGTTCCCCGCAG